ACTTCGACTTGCGGCCAACTCGACTTGTGATCAGAGTCACGGAACGGATTAAGTTCGTAAGTAGAGGTACCACTGTAATAACATAGTGGAAGAGATAATACAAAATACAGCAATAATTAGCAACATTATATGAGGTGGGCGAATGCTGAAATGCTGAGAACATTTTCTTTTGGTAGAATATAATGAATTTATGAACGCTTAATCTTTATGAAAAGATTCCCAATAGCAATATCAAATCAGGGAGAAATTCTATATCACCCATCCCAGATTTAACTCACTGATTACTCTGAAGCTTTGTATCTCCCACTGGTAATACATCATCATAGAATGAATCCTTCGTTTAATTCTCAGAATATTGTTTTGTATACAATAGATGTATAGTTGTCCTCAATGTTGCAAGAATGAATCTGTATGTCTATTTTATAATCAACACTCCTAGTTTAAAAATACAGATTTATAGCATGCAAAAATACTATTTATGGACCAGGAAATAATATTTATAAGGCTATGGAAAATGATGATTCAGAGATTTGGTTTGAAACTGCATTGATTTAATGTTACTTCTGAAGCAAAACAGAATGTCACACTAAATTATCAAACTAAAGCCTTGAATCAAGTTGGTTCAGCTTCCGTAAAAGATTTGAACTAGATCAAACTGAACAGAATAAATCTTACTTATATCCGAGTCAATCTAGATACCCCTAGAGAAACAGAAGTTAATTTTTTAAATGAGTTTATTGTAGGCTGCTTGGACAGGCAGAAAATATGGATGAGGCCTTTATCTGTTAGATCATCAAACTTTCAAAGAGGCATATGATTGTGACAATGGAAGGTTTCAAATTTCCTGCTGGAAATTAACTCTACAAGACTCAGAGGTTCAATAATTCCTATCCTTCCTTACCGACAACTTAATTTGTCAGAAGATAGAAGAAGAAACAAGAGGGTCTGCTATTTTTTGGTTGACAAAGTGAAGGTGATTGGAACCTTGAGAGAAAGTGACCATGTTATCCTTCAATTTATGATATCAAGGGAAGAGGAAGAGAGAAAAATCAGAATTGTAAACTGGATTTCAGAAGAGGAGATTTTGATAGAGGAAAGGTATGTGAGATCCAGTGACTTGAAATCCTGAAAGAGAAAAGTATCCAGGAAGAATGGGAACTCCTGTGAGATGAGATACTGAAATTGCAGTCACAGACAATTTCTACTAGAAAAGAAAAATGGGAGACATCTGAACAGACCAGTGTGAATACACACAGAACTTCCTAAAATACCCCCTCCCCAAAAAAAAGACAAACATACAAGAAATAGGAGGAGGGGAGAATAACCAAGAAATTGTATAGGGTAGTTATTAAACATGGCAGGGATTGTGTCAGAAAGAGCTGTGGCTTGTGAGAAATGATAACAACAGCAGCAAGGTTTTTGAGTATGTCAGAAACAAATGGAAAGTCAAGGTGTAGGTTTTCTACAAGGAGAAAGGGATGAATTGAGGACAGGTGGTGACAAGAATGCAAAAAGTCTTAGATTTGGTGCCTGTTTTCTCTCAGAAGGGAAATGAAGCTTTAGCTGGCCATGGTTGTGCCACTAATGGAAGAAGGGAACTGCAACTTAGGATAAGCAAGAAAAGGATAAAAGAACACTTAGATAATTTAAATTCATTCAAATTTCCAGGGCGAGTTATATCCTAGGATACCAGCAGAGATGATCACAAAACTGCTAGCTGTAATCTTTAAGAACTCTTGGAAATTTGATGACTCTAGAGGAGTAGAGGAAAGCAAATAATGTCCCTATCTTTAAAAAAAAAAAAAAAAGGGAAGAAGGAGGACTTGGGAAATTACAGACTTGTCAGTTTGATGTCTGTACTGAGAAAAATCCTCCAGCAGATCATTAAACATTTGCGAACACTAGGTTAGGAATGCAATAGTTAACAAGAACTATGTGTGTCACAAACAGGACATGCCAGACTACCTTTATCTCCTTTTTTGATAGTTACTAGCTTAATAGATTGTGAACATACTCTATTGTGACCTCAGTAAAACATTCAACAAAGTCTCTCACATCCTCATTAATAAAATGATAAAAATAATGGCCTAAATCATACCAGTGTTAGATGGATTCATAATTGATTGAATGACTGGAACCAGAGAGTACTCATAAATGGATCAACATCAGCTTGGAGAGTAGTACTCAGTGGAGTGCTGCGAGGCTCTATCCTGTGCTCTGTGCTGTTCAACATTTATTTCAACATTAATGAC